GAGAAGCACCTGCCCACCCTCACCACCTGAGTTCTGCCAGTGAGGAAGTCCAACACCCATGCACACAGACGGCTGTTAAGTCCCAGATCCCTCAGCTTTGTGAACAGTCTGCAGGGCACTATTGTGTTAAACGCTGAGCTTTAATCAACAAACAGCATTCGCACATAGTTACCCTGTGTGAAGCTTCTACTCCTCCTCAGTGGAGAGTGTGCTCTCCTCCTGCCTCGTGTTTGGTACTCAGGGGCCACAACTGAAAACAGGAAGGCTGCACAGGGGTCATTAACAACTCCCAAATAACTTACTGGCTGCCCTCTGCCACCCCTGGAGGCCATCTCCAGATCCTCCTGTCTCAGGAAAACCAGGGGCATCACAGGCGAGCCCCGCCCACCACCTATTTGACCCGCTGCCCTCTCAGGCCAGTCAGGTCCCATACCTCCAGACTCACCAACAGCATCTTCCCCTGGGCCAGTCAGACTGCTAACAAACACTATCCTCCACCCACCACCCCAACAATCCCGACTCTAGAGTCTTTTCTTTGCACTACTTCCAAGCATTTGTTCTCCAGTGTGTGACTTTCTCTTGTTTGTTATTTATTCCTGCTGTCTACTATTCGTATTTTATTCTGGCACAGTCAGTGGAGAGCACCCAACACCGAAGAGAGGCATGAAAGCTGAAGAGTCCGCCTCCCATTTTACTTTTAAATATCCTGCCATGGTAAGCTGTGTGACAGGCAGGATGACGCACCCCTTAATTTTGCGGACGGATTGGCCCAGGTTCGGTAAATTAATTGGACTGTGTGTCAGTATGCAATCGCGGCCGGTAGGGACATGCGAGGTCTGTGTGGTGCTCAGCGGAGGAGTCAGTGGGGCCTTCTCGGGAGACCCCATCGGCTCCAGTTACACTCATTACCATTAATGGAGGTCCTGTTCGAGCGCATTGGCATGGACCTCATCGGGCCATTTCACACGGCTATCGCTTTGTGTTAGTTCTGGTGGATTTGCAAGGCAATATCCACAAACAGTGCCACTGCACACCATTTCTGCTAAGTGTGGCACAGGTGCTATTTCAGGTCATCTCTTGAGTTGGTATCCTGAAAAAGATACTGACTGACCAAAGAACTTCATAGATGTCTAGCTTTACGAATTGTAGGGCATTAAGCCTACCACCCTCAGTATGATGGGCTGGTGGAGCGGCTGAATAAGACCTTAATGTCCATGATTCGGAAGTTCGTTCACGAAGATGAACGCAACTGGGATCGTTGGTTGGACTCCAGATTCCACCATTCCTGCCTCCCTTCATTTGTGATGACCATTGCACACAGGTGTGGATGTGGATGTTGTGGATGTTGCTGCATTGCAACAGCATTTTGCAAATGTGTTCTCCCCCTTACCCAGCTGTATGACTGTTATGGTGCATCAATTTGACAAGCGGCCTGGCGTGATGGTCCGTTCACGACCCTACAGGTTACTGGAGCACAGAAGACAAATCATGCAAAGGGAATTGGCGGAGGTTTTGAAGCTGGGAGTAATAGAAGAGTCACACATCGCTTGGTGTAGCCCCATAGTTCTGGTAGTGAAGAAAGATGGATCTATACGGTTCTGCATAGACTATCGCAAGGTGAATGAGGTGTCACAGTTTGATGCTTATCCCATGCCGATGCTGGATTTAACCGAGGGCTACTGGCAGATTGCCTGGTCTGCAGAGTCAAAGTAAAAAAGGGCCTTCTCTACTCTTTACGGTTTGTACCAGTTCGTTACACTAATGTTCGGCTTGTTCGGAGCCCCTGCCACCTTCCAGCATCTCAGAGACCGGTTGCTGCGTCCTTATGCTGCATATGCTGCAGCCGACCTGGAAGACATCATCATCAATAGTGACACTTGGGCGGAGCATATGCAGCGGGTGGTAGTGGTCCTGGAGTCTCTGAGGCAGGCGGGGTCCACGGCCAACCCGAAAAAGTGTGTGGTTGGACGGAGGGACGTATAGTTTCTGGGGTACCAATTGGGTTGTGAGCATGTGCAGCCACAGATGGATAAAACAGCAGCTATTGCATCCTGTCCGCGTCTCAAGACCGGCTAGGCCAGATGGCTCCCCGGCACAAATTGGGCGGTGGGGGGGTGGCACTGTGTGGTTGGTGGCTCAGCTGCAGGGGAGGAGTGGAGCAGCAGGTTCATGGTTTGGTGTCAGGGAGGCTGGTTTTGCACAGCCAGTGAGCATTTTGCATTCCCTATTTCAATAGCAGCCAGGCCTGGAGAGGAGGCTGCTGCTGGAGGAGAGCACTGGAGCCAGGGCAGCGTGCACTGGAAGGTCCCAAAAGGTGACATAAAGCAGATTGTGTGATAACAATAAAAAAAAAACACAAACCACAGTTACGGAGTTGTGTCAGGTCCTTCTGAGATCACAGAAGTATTTTATGAGGATGGTCAGAGGGCAGAGGGGAGAATACACAAGTAAACTGCTGTTGCAATGCAGCAACATCTGCTGCGTGAGCTTTAATTGTCACAAGGAAGTGAGGCCACCTCATAATGAGCATTACCTGCTTGCTGTGTGACAACATAGGTTCCTTACACCTAGCAAGTAGTTTCATCCAGAGGGCTGGATCCAGGGCCAGGGATTCACTAAATTCAGTAACCTGAGGACATTTTAACTCTGGCTTAACATATATATTTTTTTTATTTTTACCAGTGCTGTTGTATTATTGATCTTCCTCTGAACAATGAAAGCTTAACTTTATGGAACTTTTTGTTTACTGCTTCCAACAACAACATGGGTATTCGTGAAATATACACAGCACACTTTGTATTTTTCCCCTCATGTTTGATACAGATGTGGTGGTTCCAGTACCAGAGCCTCGCCCCATCAAGTTTTTCCAGCAAATACTTCAATCAAACTTCCAGGACAAGTTTATGTGTACCCAAGAAGGTTGGACAGAAGATAAACAGCGTCTGGTTGATATCTACACAGAGCTGTACATCACAGCTGGGTATGATGTACATATCAACACACAGCATGAGGTCCGGCAGATTGAGAAAGTATGGAAGCCAGCAGAGCCAGAGAAACCTATTAGACCCACAGACATGTTCAAACATCCTTCAGGAGACTACAGACCCATCAAAACAGTGATGACCAATGGAATCGCAGGAATTGGAAAAACTTTCCTTGTTCACAAGTTTGTTTTGGACTGGGCTGAACAAAGATCCAATCAAGATGTGCATCTGATTTTCCCCTTCACCTTCCGTCAGCTGAATCCTCTGAAGGGAGAAAAGTTCAGTTTGGCAGAGCTCATTCATGAATGCATCCCAGAAACTGTAGGCATCCCACAGGAGGCTCTTAATTACATCTTTACAGATGTTCAGTCATCAGGAATCACCAACTATGACAAGAGTAAATTCAAACTTCTGTTTGTGTTTGATGGGCTGGATGAGAGCCGCCTTCATCTCGACCTTCATTCTGAAGACATTCGCTCTGTCGATGTAACAACGGCAGCTAAAACAGATGTCCTGCTGAGGAAACTCATCAATGGGAAACTGCTACGCTCTGCTCGCATCTGGGTAACCACACGGCCTGCAGCGGCCAATCAGATCCCTCGAGAGTTTATCAGCAGTACAACAGAGGTCAGGGGGTTCACCGACCCACAGAAAGAGGACTACTTCAGGAAGAGAGTCAAAGGTAAGGAGGAGGCTGACAAACTCATCTCCCATATCGTGACATCACGAAGCCTCCACATCATGTGCCACATCCCAGTCTTCTGCTGGATCACTGCAACAGTTCTGGAGGATGTGTTGAAAACCAGAGAGGGAGGAGAGCTGCCCAAGACTCTGACTGAGATGTACGCAGAGTTCCTGGTGTTTCAGATTGATCGGACAAAAGAAAAGTATGGCCCAGAGAAGAGCATTCAATACGTTAAGTCATTAGCAAAACTGGCCTTTGAGCAGCTGGAAAAGGGCAACCTGATCTTCTATGAGAAGGATCTGAGACAGAGCGGCATTGATTTCAGTGAAGCCTCGGTGTGCTCAGGAGTGTTCACAGAGATCTTCAAAGAAGATCGAGGAAGGAAAGGGAAAGACAAGATGTTCAGCTTCGTCCATCTGAGCGTTCAGGAGTTTCTGGCTGCTCTTTATGTGAGGATGTCGCTTATAAATAGCAACAAAAATGTGATGCTTTCACCACCGCTGTCTCTGCGCATTCTTCGACTGCTTTTCAGTAAAATATCTTCAAAGAAGATCCACAGGATTTCGATTGACAGGGCCTTACAGAGTTCAAACGGACACCTGGACTTGTTCCTTCGCTTCCTCTTGGGTCTTTCACTGCAGACCAATCAGGATAAACTACAGAGCCTACTGAAAAAAACAGACTGTCGGTCAAAAACCAACCAGAAAACAATCCAGTATATCAAGGAGAAGCTCAGTGAGAATCTGTCTCCAGAGAGAAACATTAATCTTCTCCACTGCCTGAATGAACTAAATGATCGTTCTTTAATAGAGGAAATCCAACAGTATCTAAGTTCAGGAAGCCTCTCCACATATGAACTTTCTCCAGCTCAGTGGTCAGCTTTGGTTTTCATCTTACTGTCATCAGAAGAACATCTGCATGTTTTTGACCTGAAGAAATATTCTGCTTCTGCTTCAGAAGAAGCTTTTTTGAGGCTTTTGCCAGTGGTCAAAGCCTCCACCAAAGCTCTGTAGGTGCACAGATAACCAGATATTGCAATGGCATCACAGGTGCTAGTTTTTGTTAAATTATTTAAATTATGTAAAACTAATAGTCATTATATCTCATGAGGAAATTTGTTCAAACAATAATATAATTATTCATTTTATAATTACTACAGTAGTTTTTTTATAGCATATAAACAGCATCACTATTTCCTCTACAGATTGAGTGGCTGTAATCTGTCAGAGAGAAGCTGTGAGGCTTTGTCTTCAGTTCTCAGTTTCCAGTCCTCCAATCTGAGAGAACTGGACTTGAGTAACAACAATTTGCAGGGATTGGGTCTGAAGTTGCTCTCTGCAATACTGGAGACTCCTCACTGTACACTACAGAGCCTCAGGTAAGCTGAAATGTTGTATTATAATGCTGCAGTGGATTATGTTCCATGTTTATCATTTATCATCATTGTTTGTTTATACTTTAACTCATAAACACAACTGTATAGGAATTAATGCTGTCTGACTGCAAACAGGTGGACAGTAGTTTGTATCATATCTATCTAATAGACTCCAGTTTGTGCATGTAAATGGAGAGTCCTCTTCACACACTGAGGTTAATTATGGAGTTCCACAGGGTT